TTTCCCCGACGGCACCGCGGGGAGGGATGGAGGAACGGAGGGGGGCGGGAGCCCCTCCGCAAAGTTTGGCGTCGGGAGCCGGGGATCCGCAGGGTGCAGCGAGCGAGGGTCGCGTTCCCCTGGGATGGCAGAGGGGACCGGGGCTGGGACTCCCGGCTGCCCCGCTCGGTCGGGCACGGCCCGGCCCCAGCCCCGGGGACGGAGCATCCCCCGCTCCTTCCCACCCCTCCGCTCTCGCCGGGCGGGGATCGCGCGGTGTGAAGGGATTCAGCTGTTCGGGCTCTCGCGAACTGTATTTCAGTCACGGTGCATCACTCGCTAGCTTTCAGAGACGACCTTCCAGAGCCCATCGTCCCGGGTTTTCTGAGGAGACCCCTGGAAAAGGTCAGAACCGTTTTCCAGAGAAACTGGAGATTCACCGTTTCTCAGCATAAAGTCTCTACTGTGCTCAGGTCCCTATGATGTGGCTGCACCCTTTCTGTATTTCCTTTTCCTCCACTTCAATTAGGAACTGCTTACTGCAAGAGGAGCTTAGAGTTTGAACACTACAAAAGCCCCTGGAATACCAAGCTAAATACAACGTTCTAGCTGAAAGCAAAATAACCACATTAATAAAAAAACAAACCCGAACAAAATAATCCGTAACTCATTAACGCATACCTCAAGTCTCTCATAGTCCATTTCTGGCTGCTGTTTCTGCTACTGTGGCCACCACACAAGCCTTCCTTGTGATATGGGAGTATCCTCCACCTAGCCCTGCTTTTAAAGAGCTACTGCCTGCCTTTAATTCCTTCATGTGCTTTAGGTGGCTTAATTCTTTAACAAATCCAAAATCCTTAAAGTTCTGATTAAAGTACTACCCAAGTGTGGGTGGGATAGTGTGTGCAACACGTAGAAGCCATTTCTATTCCAGCATGCTTGCTCTGAACCTGTGGATGTATTCCAGAGGAAAACTTGCACCTTTTGAGGTACCTCTGAGTTTTCCTGTGGAGCGAATGTGTGCTTCCAGATGCAATCTGTTGTGCTCGGGTGTGTTGTTTGCATATCCCTTGTGTGCAGCCACCTGAAGAACCTTGAGTGATGAATCAAACTCTGGAGTTGAGTTCTGTCATGGGGCTTTAGGTTTCCTGAGGCTTAGTTTCCCACTTTGGAGAGAGACGTTCAAAACCAGAGTTTTCAATGCGAGTGTTTTCTGTTGGCATTGAAGACACCACATCTTGACCATAGATATATAAGGATAAAGCTTCTCTTACCACGCCCTTATCCAAATTATCTGACACTTCACAGAGCACACTAGAAAACACCTCAGTGTTCTCCCTTCATCCCAGTAGGAGAGATCCCCATAAGCCATCCTCATGTTGAAATTGGCTTGATGTGTGGTTCTCTGCCCGCAGTTCTTCTCTGGGTGCTGCTGTGTGTCCGTGGGGGTAGCCAGTGTTGTGCCTTCCCTCGCACAGAAGGTGCCTAAGGAAGGACAGCAGACAGCACTTCCTTCCTGAACACTGGCAGTGTTCAGAGCTCCCAGTTCGTGCTGGTTGAAAGCTCGGGAGTTGAATCCAGACTATGCAGCCGTGTTGGCTGTGCAACCACTGACAGGCTGGACCAGCATGGAATGGTTTTTGATTCTATTTTTAATTCTATTTGCTTTTTTTATAACAGGTGAAGGGCTTCTTTTAAATTTTTTGGCCCTTTGATGCACTGATTTCAGTGGCACGATCCGGCTGGCTGTGCCACTGCTTGTCCTGGTACCCTGTTGCAAAAGTAGCAAACCAAACAAACTACAAATGTAAAGGAATCCTTCCCTGTGGCATCCCCACAGCCTGGCAAAATGCAGTGTTTTGGAGATGCACCCCAAGCTCAGTATGCAAAGCATGACATTTAGTTTGTATATAAATGAATGATTCTGTTAATGAAGCTGCTAATATCACATGCATTTTGAGAGAAAACTTAGTCTGAGATGACACACCTGACTAGAATACAGCTATTTACAATCTCAGCCATATCCTGTCATGTATCACATAGCCCACACACGAGGGGAAACAGGAGGATTACGAATCCACTGGCAGGAATGTTCAAGGTAAAAAGAGATTTTGTGTCATTTGTGCACTTCAGCCATCTCAATATGCTGAGCAACGCTTGTAAAATAGAGAAGATTTGCAGTGGTGTGAAGCATTCACATCAAGGATGTGAGTCTGTTCCCTGCGAAGTAAATGGCAAAATTCCCACCAATTCTTGTAGTCCAGATTGATAACATGTTAAAATGCTGTTTCACAGGCTCACTGTTACATTTCTGCCTGCTTAGTTGGAGAGTGTGACTGTGTTTAGGTGTTAATGGAAGTCCTCTATTTCTCAGTCCCTAAATTCATCCTTCATCTCTTTTGCATGTAGTTGTCATTTCTGTGTAGACTCAGCAGTGCAATTGCAAAGAAGGGTCAGAGACCACCAGAGCAGGCAAGCAAATGGGCAACATTGAATAAATCAAGTTTTCCCCTGCTTGGAGACTGGTGCACTGTGTATTTCATTAGTGCCCTGTGCCTTAGAGCAGTGATATCCAAATAGAAATTACACTCTGATGCTGGCTTCCAAATCCTTGGGCATTCTCTCACCATCTGAAAACCTCTATTTTTCAGTTAAATTATCTTTCCTCTGATATGGAAGACACATGTAAGGGTGAAATATAAGAATTTTAAGTATCTGGTTTATTTTCCCTTGGTGCTTTTTATGTTTTGCAGTAGTACTCTATTTGGACAAGAGAGGTAACACTTTCTTTTTGTTTACAGTCAGTTTATTATTTTGAGTTGGTCAATTTTCAGAGTTTTATGTAATAACCTAGAACTGCAGGTTTTAAGACGCATTGTAAACTGGGTTTTAACTACTCATTCCACACTTTACAAGAGACGTAGTTTATAGGAATTTTTTCATACCAGGGGATATGTTAACTTTCGCCTTGCCAAAACTTAAAATCCAGACCAAATGCAGTGTAAAAAAATCTTGATTAGCCCACTGCTTTAATCCGTTTTGCCGAACAGCCTTGAAAAGACACCTTCCTTCCATTCGCTGTGACAGCCGCGACCACTTGGAAATGTCCTGGATCAGTTTTCCATGGTCCAGTGCCGTGTTTCTCACGCGTGTCTCTCGGGGCTGCAGGGCTGCGCTGGAATGAAGGTGTCCCGAGCTCAGGTTCCTGAAAGAGCGGGCAGCAAGAAGAGGGAGGAGGCGCCGTGGCCGCCAGCGCTGCGGCTCCGGGGCTCTGCTCTGCCCGGGGCTTCGTGCGGCATCCCCGGGGGATGAGGGCCGGATGAGCCGGGAGCTCCGGGGAGCCCCGGGGAGCTCCGGGGAGCTCAGGGGAGCCCCGGGGAGCTCCGGGGAGCTCAGGGGAGCTGGGGACGAGGCTCCAGCGGAGGGAGGGGCTGTGGGGCTGGGCAGGAGCGAGCGGAGCCCCCAGCCCGCAGCGCCGCAGATGGGGGAGCGCTGGCCGAGCCCTAGGGCTGGCAGACTGTGTTCTCCCGGAGCTGCCGTGTGCCAGTCAGCGTGGGAGAGGATCCGGCTCCTTGTCACTCCCGGAGCTGATACATGGGAATCTTGCCCTCCTTCCTCTCCGCTCTGCCTTCTCTCGACATCACGTGTGTGGGAGGGGGTAAACGAAGGCGGGGAGGATTTAAGGGAAATGTGAGAAGTGAGTGAAATTATCTGAAAGTCTGAGATATTCTCCGAGATTAATCCCTCCTGTCGGGAAGGGGGTGGACTTTTGGACCACAGCCTGCGTTGTACGTGCGTGCTGTTTTTGTGCAGGGAGTAATTGCAATACGTAGCATAAAATGATGTTAGTGCGGTATAGGAGAGCAGCCCCCCCTGTGCCATTGAAGAGCCCGTGGAGGAGTTCAGGAGTGACAGCCTCTCACGGCAGCGACAGAAAGGAGGGGTGGCTCCCAGCCCACTGAACTTCTCTCTTCCACGGTTCCACAGTGCAGCGCTCCTGTTCCTGGGTGTGTCAGCTCCGTATCACGAGCCTTCTGCCATCTGTTTATTCAGTCTTGGGAGAGTTCAAGCACTGCACCTTCAGCTGTGTGAGTGTGGCTTTAATATTTGATTTATAGAAGCCAAGAATCTTCTCATTAGAAAGCAAGGCTCTCCTGAGCAGAATGAGCTCTCCAAAGAGCTGAATAGAAGTACAGGACACAACACTCAAGAAAGTCGAAGGGATAAGATCTGCATAAAATTGCCAGTACCTATTTTAATTGTTTTGGTTGAAATGGTAAATAGATGCCTCAAGCAAACATCCATTGCCTTCATTATTGAAACAAAGAATTTAAAGGAAAAACCACATTTTCTTATCTATGGTAGAGCAAACAGTGCAAAAAAAGAAATTTGGGGTTTCACACATGTGCTTTAAAATCTCCAACTCCCTTTGGTATTTGTGATCCTTTAATCTTTTTTTTTTATTATTATTATTTTTCTTTTTTAGCATGCAAACCAACGAATCTGTGTGATTTATAAGCTCATTTGTGGAAAACAAAGGGTTTCTAGAGTGTTTGTGTGAATTCGTGTTTGTGAACTTTACTGCTGCAGTTTTTTAGCTAACATTGCCTTTCAGCCTGTGATGCTGGTAGTGTGCAGAAACAAGCTGTTTCTTCATGGGAGCATAATTAAACAAAGCCAACCTATTGCCAGTAGGCTTCACTCTGACAGGGGTTGTATTTTCCACTGAAAAGGTCAAGAAGTTCTTTATGGTGATTTGTGCTTGTTCAAAGTGGGAAATGAGACCTGCAATAAAATGTGTGCGTCCTGGTTTTATTGCTCCATTACTGGTACCAGTGGTATCTGCTATAGATTATCCTCACAGTGAGGTAAAGCTGGGCACAAGAACAGCTGAATCTGAGGCTTCTGCACCTGCAGGTCTTCACTCTTTTCAGTATGTAGAAGGCCATTAAACTCCTCATTTATTTTCTTTCTATAACACAGATTTAAGTGAGAAATCTAATTGTATCATAACTTACCTGGCAGATGGTATTGAACAGTCATTCCACAGTCTTACCACCACTGGGTAGTCTGGAGTATTTTTGTTCCATGAAGTGTCTGGACCACTTAGAATGATGATCAATCCTGGAAAACTCACAAGAGGTTCACAGGTAATTAGTGATCTGAATAAATGCTGAAGTGTTTCAACTTTGTAGTTCCATGATTGAGACAACTCCACATAGTGCATCTGGTCAGAAATAAAAAGAAAAAAAGGTGTTTTATCTGCTGAGGGACCTGATGTGGCCCCTCAGTTTAATCCAGTGTTGAATGGCACACTTTGCTATATTTTAGGCAGAAAGTGCTTTCTGCTTTGCCTGTACTCTCCTGAATACTTCATATATTCCTCTTCTTCCCGTTCCTGAGTGTAACACTGGGTTCTTTCCTTGAATTTGTCTGCCCAGCCATGATGGTCACATGTGTATGTGCTGTCATACTCATCCTCCTCCCATGCCATTCCTTGCAGTTACGGGCACACATGGCAGAAGCTCTCCGGTGCCTTGTTCGTGACCACAGCTTCAAATCACAGTCCAAATATTTAGAACTGTTTCTGTCCTTTGGTTAGTTTTTGCTTCTCACTTGCTACAGTTGGTAGAAGTCAGCTGTTGAGCTCTACTTGCATTTAAAATGACTTTTTGGTTCATTTTGCTGTCAAGCTGTGCACTAAGCCATTGCTGCAGCCTTTGAATTGCTGTCCGTGCCAGACCAGCTAAAACGCAAACAAGTCTCTCCTCCTCCCTCATGCCTTCTGTTTTCACCAAAATAGAAGACAAAATAAATGGCCAGGGACGTGTTTGTTCAGTGGTTTTTGTTCAGTGCTGTTGTTGAAGCAGCTCTCTGGAGGTATTCATTACTTCATGAACACACAAGGAGACAGGGTTTGCTCAGCATCTTGTAATCTTGTTTGTCATTTAATGCAGTTTGCACAGATGTACTTGAAGATTAAAAGTGAAGGTGGGAGCAGACAGCAGAGAAGAGCTGTTAAATGGCCAAGTAAACCAGCTGAATTTTAAGGTGGATAGAATGCTGTTCCAGATGAAGAGTGTGATGTGGAGAGGAACAGAGAAGGAGTCCAGAAGGAGAAAAGTACAACGAAGTACAGGAGAAAATAATCTTTGCAAAGGTTCAGTGAGAAGGAAAAAGAACTGAAATTTCTTGCAGCAAGGGAGAAAATGAGTGAAAGGATTTGAAGATAAAAGTAACTTGGATGAGAAGAGTGCTTTTGATAGGTGAATTTTTCCTAGTCTGGATAGCAAGAAGCAAGTGAATTTTCTCCTGCTCTGAATCAGTGGGTGTTGGAGAGATTTACAAAGCCTGATAAAACACCATTGCCTGCAGCAGCTCACTGCCATTTAATCTCCCCACCATGAAAAGAACTTTGAGAGTTTCTGAACTGTTCAGGATCATAAAGAGAGGATCAGGAAGCAGAAGCCAGGTTCTTTGTGTCTGCCACAAAGGTGAATTTTAGTGTGTCCTGTTTTGAATTTTGTGGAGAAACAAATGATTGGAAGGTAAAGGGATTCTAAAATAGTCCTAAGGTTTGTGATAAGGTAAAATGAGTCTGACATATAACATCCTTTCTCCTGTCTTAGGACTTGCCTTCACTGTAGAAATTTACAACTTTAAAGTGACACAGTGGCAGCACCACAGTGGATGAACACAAACGTGGATGTAGCCCTCTGCAAAGATGCTGGTCAAAGACAAAACAGAATAGATGATTTCATTTGGAAGGGACCTACAATTATCATCTTGTCCATCTGCCTGCCCAGTTCAGGGCTGACTAAATTGAAGCATATTATTACAGCCATTGTTCAAATGGCTTTTAAACACTAACAGGCTTAGGGCCCAGCCTCACACCAGTAAGAAGAGTTTATGTCATTGACCTTGCTTTAGAGACTGCAGGAATGTGAAACCTGACTTTTCCTCGTTCTGCTGAAGATAAGGAGTTTTTTCATTAAAGGAAGAAGTTAATCCCTCTTCCCCTTCCTAGGGTTTTTGAGCATTATGTTATCTAGGGAGACCCAAAATGAAAATGCTGTAAGAACTTGGAAAAAAAAAAAAAAATCACATGCCATTCTATCTAATTATATTTCACTTGTTGATTTTTGATGTTATAAACTTAGGTTTCATTCTGTGTAGAGTCAAGTTAAAAATAAATGGGCAGAATGTGAATATTTGATTAAAAATGCTAATTTCCACAGTTTGTTCTCTCTCCATCTTACTACTTAGAAGCTGCTCTCAACCCTCCTTTCTTCAGCAATGCAGACTTTGTAATGAAGGCAGTTCAAACTCAGTGTTTCCATTCCAAAGGAGTTACAGACCAAGCAAATTTTCTCTAACTACTTGACAGCTCCTCAAAAGGCCTAGCAATGCCACCCCGAATCACACAATATTTGGTGTTTCTTTAGAACCTTGTCCCCTGAGGGCCTTGATTAGAGGAGAATCTTTACTTCTTGCAGGAAAGGAAAAAATGTAACTCTTACGGCTGTGGAGCAGGACTTGAAGATAATGATCCTGTCTCAAAAGTAAAAAAAAAAAAAAAAAAGAGGCGGTGGGAAGAAAGAATGAATTGCCTTTTTTTTTTAATTCTCAGTTTTGGAGATTCTGAGTCATGATTTTTCAGCACTGGGAAATGGTAATATTATACTGAGCTTTTAAATTTAAAAAAGAGGATACATTACTAACTAATTTACAATGCTTCCATATTCGACAAAACCATGGACATCCACGTCTTTGAGCATAGCATCATGAAATACAGTAAATATAAATTAGGTGGTTGATGAAACCTGATGGGCAATATACTAACTTAAATTAAAAATCTCAGTATAAACATACCCAAAGGATATGCCTGGAGTGGATCATGGTCAAATCTTGTTAGAGGAAATGGTGAATACAATCAATAGAGGAGCTCTTGGAAACATATATATAATAATCACATTCTCTGCAGGGGTTCATCCTTTACTACCTTTCCAACTTCAGAAATAATGCTCATAAAAGGAATTGTGCAGGGGACCAAGGTCATCTTTGGGAACGTGAATTTAAACGTGACAGATCATTATCCAGCCTCTCACCAGGTTGTTATTTATCTGGGCTGAATTCTCAGCTGGCCACAAGCGCTGGTGAATATTCACACAAAACTTAAAAATGCATTGAGATTGTGGATAATAATTTTGTTTTAGTTAAAACACAAAAATGTTTGTAAAGAAGGCGAAAGGGCTAAATGATCAAATTCATCTTGTGGTTGTGTTGGGGAAAAAAATTCAAGTGGACCAAATAAGAATGCTGTTTTACAAAAGTGTGTATTTTTACTAAGTGTTAGTGTTAATAAACCTTTGAAGAACTGAGATTTATTGTAGAATAAAAAATAGACTATAATGAGCCACAAGTTCACTACATTAAAATCATCAGTAATTTTGTGAAGTATGAATCATGATGTTTTTGTGAAAATATTTTACCTGAAATAAGCTAAATGATCACATTAGTATGACACTGTCCAGCTGAAACAGTTTCACTGGTTTAAGTTTCAAGTATGTATTTATTTGCATGCATACCTATTACATATGCCACTATGGTGAAATGAGATCATGGCATTAAAGGAAAGCCTCCTGTAGGCAGAAAACCATTTGTTGAATCTGTTTAAGAGCATTCATAAAAGAATGGATTTTAGATTTCATAAATTTGTTTTGTTAATCTGCTATTTTTAAAATACTTGCAAGACCTCTTCTGTTGCCATGACAATTTGATTTCCATAAACATCATATTTTGGATGTGACTATCCAACATTGTATTTGCTATGCTGTGTGGGGAAAAGAGATGGCAACTTGGCACCACAGAAATGGCAATGCAGAGAGGCCCAGACCTCTCACCAGGAGTGGTCAGGACAAGTTCATTACAGTAAGAAAAAATAAAGATTGTGGATCAAGTAAATATATATTTATATTCCCTGTAAATTAGATTTTTGTTTTCATGTCTTCCTGTGAACACTGTTTTGGAGTGAGAAAACTTCAAGTTTCCACTGAAAATTGGTTCCAAGAGCCAATGTTAAGACTAAATTCTGGCTAAAAGTACAGCTGGACCTTTTTGGATCTACACACACAAAGCAGCAGTAAGGACACACAACTCTCATTGCCCTGCAACACACTCTGCAATTGCTGTCCTAGTCGAAGGGCTTCACAAAGGATTTAGGATGGTGAGAAAGCTCAAAGATTGAGACATTTGTAAGGTGTAGCCACAGGAAAACCCCTTCCTGGCTGAGGGATCAGCATGACTTCCCCATATCTTCCTTCTGTCTTTCTGAAATGAGTAAAACAAATCAAATCCCTTTCAAAACTTATTTACACCAGACTAGTTACTGAGTAATCCACTGAAAGACTTGGAACATTTTTTCCAGTGTAGTTAGAAAATCTGATGGGTATGGATTCTCTGGATTGGGCCATTAAATTACCTCTCTTGATCTGTTTAATTGTGAAAGCATTGCCAAATCTTCCTATCTGCAGTATAAATCTGATAATGCTTTTTTTGCAGCATGTCTTTCTGCTTTAGCTCTGCATCTGACAAACTGATCAATGCTAGGGAAGGTTTAGCAAATGTTTTACAAAACAAGAACTAAACTTTTTTAAAAACAATATTTTAGACTCAGCATCATGGGTTTTTTTTTTTCCTCCTACTGAAATTTCATTGTGGCTGCAGAGAGCTGGTGGGATGGTTTCTTGTCTCGTGTAAAAGAGCACAGGGATTGCAGGCACTGTCAGATGAGGGTATAAAAACAGTCTCTTGTTTTTTCTTTTAAAAGTCAGAATGCAATTTTATACATTGACTTGCATCTGAGTACTTATTTCACTCAGTCCCCCACACATCCCACAAAAACATTGTGGAAATGGAGTCTCCTAACACCCCTTAGGAGCTGACTTCCTAAGGTAATCTACCTTGGTTCTTGTTTTCTTGGCCAGCTGTAGGTGGAGAGCTGATTTTTGTGCCTGGAGAGCCAGCCCCCTACGTCACGCATTGCTGCAAAATGTCTGTGTGTCTTTCCACCCACACTGCAGAGGTGTAGACAGCTGCACACATGCAGGGCAGAGCTTGAGCCAAGCCATGGGTGTGGAGAGCAGAATGGAGTGGCTCTGGGCTCAGCCAGTCGGTGGCACCAGCCCATCCTGACCCAAACAACGCCTTAGGCACGACAGCGCCAATGAGCAAACGCTCATTTCTGTCAGAGCTAAGCCTCAGGATTTCCACTTTGGGTGGCAAATTCAAGGCAGTGCAGTTCAAAGCAGGATTTTTCTCCTTGTGCTGTGTGCAGCTGATACTTAGAAGAAGCCTGTGGTGGAGCTGGGAATGGGTTTTAGACCGAGCAGAGGTTCCGGGGAGCCACTCTTGCTCTGCAATTACACAGGGAACCCTTCTTTTACTGAGGCTGTGATGATTAAATGGTAACAGTCCACCCTTAGTTGCACTGACACAAAGAATAAAAGATTTTTGTTCTGTGTATTAACTAAAACACGGTATTTTTGGTACAATATGTGTGTGTCTGTGTTCTGGTCTCACATCAGTGCTTTTACTCTACCAGATGTTCTTTCAGTGCTCATTTAGTGCCAAGGCAGAACTGCACAGAGAGGGTGTCCCCTTCCCAGTTGCTCTGTTGTTCCCAGGTCACACTGCTTGGAACACCAACCCATCATATGAACCAGTGCAAAACAGATACAAAATATTCCCACTGCAAGCTTACCTCCTTTGTCAGAACTGAGAACCCACAACTTAGAGAGCAGTGTGGTGTTGAGCCTCCAGAACTATTTTGTCTCATCCCTGCTTGCCTCTTTTGCTCTAGTAACATTGAGCTGGCCCCTTGAGGTTGCTCCTGTGAATCAGTACTATTTGCTGTAAAGAAAAATTGCAGAGCTGAGCTCTTTGCCCTTCAAACCAGGGAAGGCTCTTCCCAAGTTGTAGTACCAAGCTGGATACTCACTGAGAATTGTATTTCCCAAATTAGCCACAGCCAAAGCTAAAAATCTGGTTTATGCTGCATCATAAAACTTAATCTGCTTTCTCCCTTACAAATGTGGGTTTGTTTTAAATATTTATGACACTTCATCACACACTAGTAAATGTTCTTCAGTACATTTTGTAAAAGGAAAGATACCTATATGGCATGATTACTTACTCCAGTGACTGTGATTCTTAAGTCTTTCCTGAGAAGTTTTCTATTTACTGGTGTGAGAAGTGCCAAGTATGTAGCCAAGCAGTGTTTTCATAGAATCATAGCATCATTTAGGCTGAAAAAGACCTGTAAGATCATCGAGTCCAATCATTAACCCGTCACAGCCAGCCCTAAACAACGTCCTGAAGTGCCACATAAACACAGCATTATTATTTCAGTAGCACTCTGAGGTGCAGACTACACTCAAGCCCTGTTATGATCCAGAAAGGGAAGGTTATGATATGAAGGAGGAGTTATGTCATACACATAAGACTTTCTGTCTTGGAGAGTGAGTTTCTCTGAGTGGAGAATTCAGGGGAAATATCCAGATTGTCCAGGAAGTCAGTGGCAAAACTGGTGAGAGAATCTACATGGACTTCTTGCAATTCAGCGCCTCAAATAATGCAGCCACACTGTAGTTTCCATTGACCTCTTCCAGGAAAACTGTTATTAATGAATACTACTCCCATCACTCTTGGACTCTGTGTTCATTGAGAAGAGAGGTCTTTGTGCCATGCATTAATGAAAACACAGTAAAAAGGTAGGATGGACAAAGCAGTTTTTAGTTTGGATGTGCTGGTTACTCCCTCACATGTTTCTGTGATTTGCCTTATGCCTGTGGGAGGCAAAAACTCTCTTGCACACATAGGAGGGGCTTCAGCATGTTTTAGTTGGTATATGGCAAAAAAGAAAACCCACACCAAAGCCTGAAGCCAGGTAAGCACAGATGCATCCCAGACTTGCCATTTGCAAGAGCACTGATTTATACTGTGCTTTGTAGCTCAATATTAACCAATATTTGCAGTAAGTAGGCTCTGTATTCCTTCTTGCTTGCATGGCAAGTGTGTGCAAAATGGGGCCTTACTGTGACCTTTAAATAATACTGTTTTAAAATATATTATTTATGCAACTATGTAGGTGACCATGGCACTGTATAGACAATGGAAAAAGAAAAGTTCCTCTCCCAGAAGATTGTGATAGAAATGTAACCCCAAGAGTCAGATCCAAGTTAAAAGAAGTCCTAATAAAAACATGCAATACAGTGTAATGAAAAGAAAAACACTTCTTTGTGTTGTATGTTTAAAGACAGAGTTTTAAAGGCACAGTTGGGACTTGTTTCTTAGCAACAGGGCTCATCTGAGCCCTGCAAACGCTGTCATGTTGGAAAAAGATAGCCTCCAGAAGAAAAGCAATATGAAGAGCTAGAAACATCAAATTTAGATGTCTTCCTGCTGCTGCAGGAGCATTTCATCAGCATTGCAAAGCCTCCAGGCAACAACAAGGTCATTTTGATCAACTGTAATGATCAGAACAAAGAACTCCTCTTTATCAACAGGGACGAGTAGTAAAAACATTATTTAAA